ATAAATATGGCATAATTGTGACATCACTATTTCTACAAAAAGTGACAAAAGAGTACGTGTAGAAGAAATCACATGAAAACGAGTAATAAAGCAACTATCCACAACTGTAACAAGATAATAAGCTGTCAGAAAGTGTGATAACAGGGCACACAACTTACATGCTACTTATTATCTAGTTACAAATGTGGATAATTGCTTCATAACTCATTTCCATGTGATTTCTTCTATTTTAATTATATTTATTGGCTCAGTATCCGAGTTAAAGAGTATGCGTAGTAATATTTCCACTGAAACTAGCTGAAAGGGCGCCTGGTAGACCAAAAATGCCTGTATATGCCATGACCCGGATCGGACTCGTCGCGAAAGCGATCACGCATTGAGTTCAGCAGCCAAAGCTAGACTCCGAAATATTCCTGAGTTCTGTAAGAACCATGATTAGTCCTGCGAAGGATTTTGGCGCTTTCGTTAGTTGAGCAGTCATGGCTTACAACTCGTGGCCTAGAGCCACCAAGTGTTGTCGTACGTCGGCAACACCTTCAGTACAAGTCATCAGCATTGTACTCACTACTCTGAGCTTGAGGAAGCCACGCTTAGTCCTGCAAGGGAGCTGACACCCCTGTTAGCCGAGCAAGTGTGACGCCTTTTCTCGTGTCGTACGACGCAAACGGTCGACAGTATTCGTACTCTAGACTCCGGCCCGCTGGCGGGAACACGGCATTGCCGTCTTGCACCCTACGGGGACCGAGATTGAGAGCGAAGAGCCTGCGGGCACGAAGGAGACTTGTCGGCAACTGCGTCAGCCCAATTTACCGTACGACGGGCGGCTGTTCGTACTACAAGCTCCTGGATTGCACCTGGGTGAGCGAGCTCCCCTTGTACTATCAAACTTATTGTACACATTATCACCTGAGTGAGCGAGCTCCCCTTGTATTGCCATCTTAGGTACTAATACAATACGATTATAATTATTATAGTAACCAATCTTGTTCATCAAAATCACATAAATAGCCTTCTTATTGCAAGAAATAAAGTATCTTTCGATCGCTTCCCTTCAACCCTCTTCTACACTCTGGTGTGAGAATTGAAGCAGGTAAGCTACTTATCTGCTTGATGTCGACTATATTGGTCGACGGCCTGGTGCCACTAGATAGATCACTGGCCATGACATTTGGTGCTGTGACCAGGATCAAGCGATAATGCGAAAACACTTTCTACTGTGTGTGTTCTCCTCTGAACAGAAATGGCAACGAACGGACACTCCGCAACCCGCGCGCTACCCCGTCATGCGAGTCACCAGCAGGATCTGTTCGTGGCGTTGCGGGCGCGTGCGGCCGCACTAGAAGCTCTGAACCGGTTCCCCCAAGCTCAGAAGCTCCGAGCGCTGGCTGGAGGGTTGACCTCCATCCTGAATGCGCTAAAGAAATGCGCGTCAGCTATCGACGAGGGCCCACCACCCAAACGCCCCCGGCCGCCACCCGCTGCCCAGCGTGTGCCGCCAAGTCGGCCGACTGCTGCCGCTCTCGCCGCTTGAGACGCCGCCCAGGCTGCCCGAGAAACCCTCACGGCAGGGGCCGATGCTGCAATCGCGGATGCAGCCCAAGTGGCCGTCGCCGAAGCCGAACTATTGGCACAGGATTGATTTTCCCATTGTCATAATTATTCTATTGATAGATGGCCTTCGGGTAAAATCAACTGACTTGTGTTCTGTGTGCTACGAGTATAAGGGTTCTTTTGCTATTAGACTGGCTGGTATAAAGGGGGTGCATGTCTCACGTGCCTGCATAAACTCCGGTACTTGGGAGTCAGGAAGCTAGCAGTCGAACTATGGGGGTCATATCCTAGTGAGACTGAAGACTGTGAGGTGCGATTTCTCACAACTACTTAGCGTACTCGGGTTCAAGCTTTGGACTGGGAAATGTAATATTACACCTTGTACCACTGCCTGGCAACAGTATAATAATGAAGCTATTCTTATAGGAATAGCAATCGAACATCTGAAATTTGTCATGGCTTCAATATTTGAAAGAAAATCCAAACAGAATCAGCTGCACGTTAGCAAAGCTGTGGAGAATCGCGTTGGGGAGCACATCACTATTTCTGAAGTAAAGACGGGCGGACGCATAGAGCGTCATATTATCCCACTAAACGTGTCGATGAGGTTGTTCAGCTTGCTCTACTTAAATCCCTGAAAAGCCAGCATAATGATAGTGACCTGGTTGGATCGGCTGATCAGGTGACTACTGCAACATTGAACTAGCCACTATATGCACGCGCAGACGCGTGGCTAACTCTACAAACACCAAACTCACGCGGAGAAGTTGATTTCGATTCCGTCATTGGCACCATTAAACCAAATTCATGGACGGCTATTTCAGCCTATTTGGATGGGTTCTTCGTCCAAAGGAAAACTACGCAATGCAGACGCCACAAACAGCCAAGATTGCGCACGACGACGAGCCCACAAGTTTAAGTGCCTGTTTGTCATTTGCTGCTTCATACACACCAGGAGACCTCGATGTCACCATCCATTGCATCTGGTTATCGCAGATGCAATTCTCAGCTACAGCTCAAGCTCAGTATTGCTGCGTCTAATGTCAACGCTGGTTGCGTGAAGCAGCTATAACACTTTGGACCGCTTCAAGAAGTCAATTGTGAAAGCACACATCTCCGGGCGGTTTGTACAACCAGCTGCCTAAGTCACTTCGCCTTCACTTTTACCACCATTGACAACGTCAATCGTGCTGCACCAGGAAAGCGAGTGTGAGCGTCAAACAGCAGAGCTGGGTATCATCGAACAAGCGTCCAGAACGTTGCACCACTACCTTCAAGCAGTGCCATAGCGCATAAGAAGACAACGCCTCCGCAATTATCAATGCTCCATACTGTAGACAGTATTAAAGCTGACAACTCGGCCATGAGGCCTCATCGATGCAGCTACGAGCCGAGTTGTCAGCCCTGGTGCAAAGGTGGCACCACAGACATTAACAGACCACTCGATGCTCTGGCGCCAGAATGATTATCAACATCATAGTGCCGGGCTGTTTGCCACATGACTACTATCAACGGCAAGTGCACCCACTGTTGCCTCTGGAGAGGATTTGTCGAAATTCCAAATTCAACTGGACCGGCCTTCGCGGAGCAAAAAAAAGGGCCCCGAGTCTTGAAGCTATTGCCTTTTTGGATACTGAAACTTCAGCTTTGGTCGAGGCAAGAGAGGCGGTACATCAGTATAACATGCTACTGTCCTTATCAGGAAATCCTGGCAGCATGAAGGCCTTCTACCCTAAGTCCCACGGTTTGGACCGCAGTAAGCTTACAGAGAGTCAATACCAAGCTAATAATCCCTGTGTCAGTCACTCCATGTTCTCCAGATCACTTGGACTTGGAGACAATCAAGAGCATTCTGGATGATCTACAGCAGGGTGTCGGTATTTTACGACTCCCTGATCTACAGCATCTCTATCAGTGTCATTCAGTGGGACACCAGGTTGTCGTAGGCGACCAGGAAGTCTTCAGTACACCTTTCTTTTTACATTGATTCATTTTCCTTTTTTTTTATGGTGAAAAAGGAGAAGGACAAAATGCTACGAGTTATGACTAAGTGTCCACCAACATAACCAGATCTTATACAGTCAGCGTGTGCGACAAAATGGCACAAAACTGACAAGGAGTACTGAGACATTTTGTCGTTCTCCTTTTCACCATAATTTAATTGGCTCACCATCCGAGTTGAATTTTCCTTTTTTTGATTCATTTCCTTGCTTTTTTCTCTTTTTGTTGGGCACGCATGAGCGGTGTTGATACCGAGGCCCTCGGTCGGTTTAGCCGCTTCTGCCCCGTATCCACAGCTTCCCCTGCCTTCGTTATGTGCCACTTCGCCAGCTCTGCTAATTCTTGCTGACGTTTTCACCGTGGTGGCTTGTGGCTATCTTGTAAAAAGAAGGAAAAAAACTGCAGCACCTGAACAGACAATAGGGGGATTTCCCAGAAGCATTTTTTGACTGGGCGGTGTCATTTACTGGAGATTGGCACCTACTCGAGCCACTTCAACCTGTGATTATGGACATTTATTTCCCGCTTGGTTTAGAAACATCTACTTACGGCAGTCGTGAGTCAGTCAAGTGTCAAGTCAAGTCGGCGGGATAGCGCAAGCTCCGGTGTGGAGAGCGAACACCTTTCTTATCTCCTTATCTCCCGAAAAGAATTAAAACCTGTCAACTTGGGACGTATTTAGCTTGCAAGTATGCTAACCATGCATGATGTAGAGGTCAGTAGAGCTACTCCTTTTCAATGCATGGTTAGAGTGCTCACATAGCATGCCACTTTATATTTTTTATTAATTTATATCGATAAAAGTAAAGTGAGCGCACTCATACCACGGGAACAATGGAACAATATTTTTATGATTTGAACATCATTTGAACGTCATTTTCATGATATGAGTGCGGTCACTTTACTGTCATCAATTAGGTTTCTTGTATTCACGCCGACCTTTTAATTAATTTTTTAAGTTATTTTTTAAACCTCTATAAGTCATGCCATGTGGGCCGCGGCTACCTCCCTTGGACCCAAGTATTGGCTGCCCAACCTGGAAGGAGATTTCCCTACCGCCGTGGCCAGGTGTGCCAATGATGCATAAGACATTCTGCTTCAAGTGCTTGGCTTGACCGGGCCAATCGAAATCTGCTTCTGCCTCTCCTGAATAATTACACCGCAGAAGTATAAAATACCGTACTTACGCACGACGGAGGAAGGTCGAGAGCCACACGCCGACATGGACATCGCGACGGCTGCTTTATTCTTCTTCAAGCTGTGGCGATTTGTTCAGCAGAACCACTTGCCGACGAGATCACGGAATTTAAGAAACAAAACACACGTCCCTTTTCGCTTGCTCTGGCTCTCGATCACTCGGACTCGGGAGAAAAAGCTTCAAAGCACGTGCGATGAACCATAAACGGTTTTTGCGGCAGATCATCAACTGCAAGGGCCAGGGGCAAATACGGTTGATCAGCGACAGCTCTTGCAAACGGTGCACCGGTGGCCAAACATGGCCTGCATTTTTGTATCGTACATATTGCACAGAATCATTTTCATACAATTGCATGCTATATAGCGCTAGATGCTGTGCACCGGTACGGTACGCGGTCGGCCGGGCCGGGTGGCACGTGGATGGAAAAAGCAAAGCTGAAACGTAAAAACATCTACATGTACGAGGTGATTCGCAATTTTTGGACATGTCACAAATCAGTTAAATACGGAAGTAGAGTCCTCCTGATCCTGAGTCGTTGTCCTTTCATTGTGGACAAATCTTTGACAAGAGTGTCTTCGTGTGGTCCTCAAGTTTCTTCCTTCCTATTTTTAGCGGCGAAAGGCGTTTCTTTCTGGGCGTTTTCTTTACTATTCTCAGGTAATGTATTGAGTAATTTTGAAAATTTCGATTAAATAGTAAAATTTAATGGAGGATTCCGTCAACTCTACGTCGCATGACGGAGAGAATATGCACTCAGACACTACACTCGTGGCATACCTACCCCTTGGCTCACTGCGTGGCTGTTCACATTGCCCTAGTTTCCTTTTGTATACCTTTCCTGAACACATACACTTTATTTGAGCTTTAGTAGGAGATCGAGACGCAGTTTTTTTCTTTTTCTTTATTTTTTACAGAAAGGCACAACCTACTCGTAGGAAGAGGGGAGAGAAGTAGAGGACAACACAACAATGGGAAGAGTATGGCTCCACGAAGGAACCTGTGCTGACAAGGCAAGGCAACAATGCCGACCTGTGGTCTCGGCGTTATCGCGAGCTTCCACACAATGAGAGTTTCTGGGGAGAGAAGAGGAACAAAATGGAGAGGGGATTATTGTGCAAGAGAAGACAGAATGGAGCTAGAGGGGAATATTGTGAAAGGCGAGGGTGGGAGTGCAGATGTATGGATGGTCAGGGGTGGAGGACAGGAAAATATAACGCCAGAAGGGGAGTACGCATCCTGATATTTATTCCTAGAGATAGTCAGTGGCCCACACTACAGCGAAGATAGCGGTGCGTATTTTCCTTTGAAGCTTGGAGTCTCTTGAGGGATGGTAGTTTGGTGAATAGGGAAGCCGGGACTGTTCCAGATGTCAATGATGTTGAACGGAAATGTACGCTGAAGGGAATTGGGAGCAGTTGAGGGGAGAGTGTTAACAAATTGGTAAGGGTGACCAGCGGTTTGCCGACATTGCCTGCGAGTGACGGGCTCAGCAGGGGCATTGAGGCGAGGAGGATTTTTCACCATTGGTGTGAGTAGAGGAGGACTAGGCACTAGGCATTGGCGGATAATGCTCGAAAAGGTGGCAGATTCTGCTGGAAAAGCAGTGAAATGGGCAGAACCATACAAACGTTATGGCGGGCAATTCCTCGAATTCTGCTCCATTTCTTTATCCACATACCAAACATGCATGAAACGTACCAGAAAAAGCACCGAATTCTGCCAATTTTTCTGCCGGCATTATCCGCAAAGGCCTTCCAGGCCCGCACAGCAGCTTGTACAGGAATGACAATGCTGCCACTCTCCGCCTTGCCTCAAGGCTCTGCAGCAGCACCTTGGGCCACAGGATGTGCAGGGCCCGTCACTGAACGCGCCTTCAAACGCTTCATATTCCTCCCCCTCCTCCTCCACATCCTCCATAATACAATGCGTCGGCATTGTATTAATTTTGAAGTATTTGTATTGTATTATTTTACTTGGCCAATTGGACATTCCCAACAGACCCTGAACGCTGAAGTCTTCTTTAACAGGCCATGGTAAAAAATAAAGTTGATTCTCAGGTCATGAGCCTGTGAAAATCGGTGCGAGCGAGCGATTTTTTATTTTATTTCCCACAATTTTTTATTTCCAAAGATAGGGTCACACATACATGTATGTACGTCACAGGTTCATATAATTATTTTATTATTCAGGCCAGGGAGTAGAAAAATACCGGTATTTTACTACTCCCTGATTCATGCCTTTCGCATTGACAGTTTTCATGCGCGCATATGCATGCATAGAAATATAAAAAATCGTCGGTGTGCCGCCAAAAATCGGTGCGCGCGTACTTGAGAACCAAAGATAATTTTTACCATGGCCTTACAGTCTTACACTGTTTTTATTTTTTTATTTTTTATGAAAGTGCACTGTGACATGCCTACATAGAATGGAAGAGAACAACAACAACAACAACAACAACAACAACATCAAGAGAACATAGGGGACTACAAAGGGGGTGTAGGTGCTATTGAGCTGTGCCGGTGAGGTAAAGTGCGCTCCCGCGACCAATGGTCTCGGGATCAAGGCGCACATCACGCACCATGGGGCAAGGACGTCACAGCTGGGGCGGCTGAGGCCGCCCCACTTTTTCGGCTTTTTTTTGGAGCACATTGCAACAAAGCACAATGATCCCAGCTTTGCGCAAACGTGACAAATCCTTGTCCCCGATCGTGGATTCGTGGCTTGTTGCAGAAAAAGCCTTTCATTGCAGTTAGGCCATGGTAAAAAATAAAGTTGATTCTCAGGTCATGAGCCTGTGAAAATGGGTGCGAGCGAGCGATTTTTTATTTTATTTCCCACAATTTTTTTTCCAAAGATAGGGTCACACATATATATGTACATGTACATGTACATGGTCACAACATAAATAATTCAGGCCAGGGAGTAGAAAAATACCGGTATTTTACTACTCCCTGATTCATGCCTTTCGCATTGACCGTTTTCATGCGCGCATATGCATGCATAGAATTTAAAAAAAATCGTCGGTGTGCTGCCAAAAATCGGTGCGCGCGTACTAGAGAATCAAAGATAATTTTTACCATGGCCTTACACTGAAATGGCACCAAATGCCTGGAAATGCTTGCAATTGGCTTCAATTTTTGAATTTTTTTCCCGGGGGAGGGTAATAGGGAGGTTTCGCTCTACGGAATTACGTATGAAAATAACGTATGAACTGCACGGAATTTTCATACGTAAAAATCAGAGCTGTTGGGTTTCGCTCTACGTGATTTCTCCACGGCTGCTCAACATGCGTTGTTGCTTTGGAGATGCGTTGGCTGCATGCGCCCACCGTATGCACCATGAACCGAAACCGCGTTTTCCATTATATTTTGCACGTGGTGTACGGTGTGTGTACCTTGTGTTTCGCGCGGCTTGAATGTTGCCATGGACAAATGCGGAAAATGCGAAAAAATATTTCAAAAAGTCCTACGGAGGACCCAACGTAGGAAAGAGCTTTCCTACGGAAATCCGTAGAGAGATTTACGTATGAAAGTTGCCCTCGCTCCCCGGCGCGTACGACATACGGATTTTCATACGTAATTACGTAGAGCGAAACCTCCCTAATGTTTGTCCCCGATCGTAGCGTCTTGTTCGTTTGTTGCAGAATCAAAAAGACTTTCATTGTAGTTGCCGTACACTGAAATGGCACCAAATACCCGGAAATGCTTGCAATTGGCTTCAATCTTGAAATTTTTTCCCAGTGGGAGGACCCCCGGACCCCCTTCCGTGGCCGCCCCACCTTCAAAGTCGGTGCGACGGGCCTGTGGGGGAAAGGGAGAGGAGAAAGACTGTGTGTGAAGAGTGAGAACCTGAGAGCCAGACAATGATGGAGAGAGAGAGAGAGAGAGAGAGGAAGAGATGGGGGGGGGGGGGGGGTGAGTGAGGGAGTGACAGATTACAGTAGTTCAGGAAACTATGGCAATGGACCAACAGCTGCGTTGCTTTCAGTGGGGGGGGGGGGCAATATGGAGAAGTTAGATTGGAGCTGCTGCCAGGCGGAGTAGTGTGCAGGCACTGGCTCAGCGAGAAAGGGGCCACGAAAAGCAGCAAAAAGGAAAGAAGAGAAGAAAGAAACATCAACGCAAAACATTCTGCACTGAGGTGATTCGAGAGCTCTAGCCCAGGGAGCAAGGTAGAGTTCAGTGGGGTGAAGACAAGGTGATCGTTGTGGGACTGGAGACTGTGGACATTTTCCTTGCAGGAGGTTCCGGGATGACTTGCTCAGGAATGTCGTTCCATGCCGCAATGAGGGTGTAGGGGAATGACCTCAGTAGGTAGTTCGGTGCTGTCCGAGCAAGTGGCCATTGCAACTGGAAAGGGTGGCGAGAAGCTAGTTGTCGGCGGCTTCTAGGAGTAGGTGCAGGCGCCGACGGTGGTGGGAGGAGGGATGTCAGCTGGGGTGGACCCTTAATGTAGTGCAACTTGTACACATAAGCTAGCCCTGAGACTGCCCTCTTGAGCTGCAGGCTCTGAAGGATCGTGCCAGGTCTGATGATTCGCATTGCCTTCTCCTGCACCCTGTCATAGCGTGCTAGGTGGGATTGGGCTGCACACATGGTGGCTAGGGGAGCGTACTCCAGGATGGGCCGAATGAACCCCTTATACACGGCAAGGCGGCCCTCCTGACCCAGAAGCCAAGCAGCACGGCGCAAGAATCCCAGGCGCTGGCTGGCCTCGACAGCGACAGCATGGATGTGGCGCTGGAACCCAAGCTTAGAGTCGAATGTGACTCCAAGCAGCTTTAGGTGGTCCGAGTCCGGAATAATCTCGCCGGCAAAGGTGGTTGGTGGAAAGTCAGGGCGCTTTCGAGCATTGCATAAAATCAAGCGCTGGCTCTTGGTGGGCTCGAACTGGATCCGCCATTGCTGGCCCCATGCGGCAAGATTGCTGAGGGTTGTCTGTAAGGATGCTGCCTTCTCCTGGAGGTTGTCGTTTCGTCTGATCAGACTGTACACGGTAGTGTCATCGGCGAAAGAGCTGAGCTTTACTCCATGCGAGAGGCATGGGTCGATATCGGCAGCAAACAATAAGAAGAGTGTGGGGCCCAGGACGCTATCTTGGGGCACTCCGGCAGTGATGGGGTACTTCTTGGAAGCGTGGCCTCCAGTTACCACCTTTAGGCAGCGGTTACTCAGGTAGTCGCGTAGCCAAGAGAGAAGAGGTCCGCCGATGCCTACTCGCTCTGCTTTGTTGAGGAGGCCGATGTGAGAG